TACCTCAGCCGCTGCCCGAGAGGCTATAGAAACGACTGAGGTATTCCCATACTAAACCCCCTACTACTTATAGTCGGAGGTGCTACTCGCTACAGTATAATGACTCCTAGGAGTATAATTGTGCTCCTAGGAGAACAATGGTGACTCCATGGAGTGGTGGCTATGCTCCATGGAGAACAATGGCTGCTTTGGCAGAGACCGGGTTTATCCAGTTTTGTCAATTTGCTCCAATGTGTTTCAGATCTTGCAGCTCAAATTGTTTGGGAGCTAAAGCTATGATTAAAGAAAGGACTCAGATCTTGTAGAAGAGTCTCTGTATTCAAGTAAGTACCTATGATTAAAGAAAGGACTAAATCATAGTAAGCTAAGTATTCAAAAGGGGGAAAAAGGAAAGGGGTCTCACCTCAGATCTCGTAGAAGAGTCTGAGGTGCTACATGGTAACTAGGCCTCCTTTATAGGTAAGTGAGAGAACGGAATCAAAAAATTTCTGATGGTATATATTGGCGCACGGGCCACTCATACTTACACGCCTTCCTTTCTAGGCGCTTCGTATTGGCTTGCTTCCTCTCTCGATATTCTCAATCCAACAGCGGCTCCCATACCGGTGAAATAGGTACATTTACGGAGTGGGCATAAGCTACAAGATGATCCAAGAAATATTTGTCCCTAAGCAGAAGGACCATCTCATGAAGATTTGCTATCTCAGCTATACTCGATTAGCAGACAGTCCGGCCTGAGTGCATCGCGTTTGGCAGAACTATATCCACTTGAACGCCGCCCAGCGTGCCATTAGGTTCAGACACCTGTTGAAAGTTGCTATACCAGTCCAACCAACGGCCACAGTTACTGACTTTGATAAGCCATTTATGTAGGAGAAGTTATGTGTTGACTGCCTACGCGCAGGTACTGTTTTTCAGCTTTAGATTTTGGCTGCAAAGAAATAACGTACCTCCCCCCCTGTTGTTTGACCCACCCACGATCACCGAAGAATTGGTACTGGGTCCAGAACCTTGATGCACAACGCTTTGGTAGAAAACATACTGATTCATCCTCAAGTTCGATGTTTGAGAGGTCGGCATCTCTTGAAATGCCTGAGTAAAACCTTGGACTTGCGCGACAACTTGATCCTCACTTTGATCTTCGTGAATTGTTTCTAGGTTGGGTGCATGGTCGTTGTTGTCATCTTCAGGATCCATATCTATGAAAACAAGTGGACGTAAGTTGCTTGAGCTGAAGTCTGGAGTTCGCCTCTTATCACACACCATTCTGGGTAACACAATCAACAGCGGTGAAGAAGCTTGCCGTGGTGCTGATAAGTGATTCTAGTGTACAAAAGGACGTGATTAGCAGGACTCGATGAAAAACCTTGAGCGGTATGTAGTCGGAAGTAATGATAACATTAGCATTTTCCACTCACGTTCTGAGCTCATGAACATCCGCCGCAAAATGCTGTCCGAGGTATTCTATCTCGTTATAAGTTTTTAAACTATTCTCAGGGCAATATCTGGTTCATTTTCTGCCACTCACTCTGGTTGCTGTTAGGAGTTTAAGGCTATCTCCAGCCAGTTGGAGGTGGCGACGATGCCTCTTGTATATTTTTTTGGGATTCAATGTCCACTTGGCTTGTTCGAAACTGCGTCTGCTAAGGTGAAGCCTAAATCAAAGTACGATGCACATATATTAGATCAAAGGACAGTGAATGAAGCTGGAAAAAAGAATTACTCCTCAAAGTAGTTCTTGATCCTGTTGATTTCCTCCTCTACATCTTTTGGTCCGCTGCTGGAATTTAACTGACATTGTTTAAGTAACTCGAAGGTGAAATCTTGATATATCTTGCTTTTCTCCAAAGGAGAACGTTTCTCAACGAGTTTGGGTAGTTCATAGGGGGATGCTAGGAAGGCAGCGATGTCACTAACGTCCACTGGTATAGAATTTTCCATGGTTTTAATATCGATATGGTGAGAGTGTGGAGATATGCTAGGGCTACCAAAGGTAAACCGTGACTGGTTTTGAGAACTGAGGCTAAGCAGTGCCGAGAAATCTGTGACAAGGGTGGGTGTATTGGAGACGGCGACTGTGCATAATAGATGGATCCTTACTTTTATCGATGGGCCTGTAAATTCAAGGTTTCTATCGAGGAGCCCATAATGGAAGGTAGACTCGTGGATTACTCCTGTCATGGCTATGCACATGAGCTCACGTGAGAACACTGACAATAGTTTCAGCTATATTTTATTTCGTAAGGCTTCAAGAAATTCCACTGCCAGTATAAAAAACGAGATGTAGTAACTCTAGCCGAAGCTGAATAACGTGGCCGCTGTGAGTCGGAGATTAAAAACTAAGGTCCGCGTGATTTATCGTGTGGTCTTTGTTTGGATGGGTCCATGTGTACATATATTTGGGTTCAAACCTAACTGCACCGAGTTTTCAACGTGCAAGTTTGGCTGCGTACTTCCAGCACGTTCTTAATGCTTTCCCGTCGTCGCAAGCGTCAAGCTGAAGATAATGCGAAAAGAGCCCAGGATCAGGAAGAATTCGAGGAACGTGCGCTTCAGGTGTTCGGCGCACCTTTATCGACTATCCCAGGTACTATAAGGTCAGGCGAATTATGGTGGTGCAAGCATTATCAATGGTTGAAAGACGTTGGGTATTTGCTTCGCCCTCGATACTCTCCGGACTGGGTTCCTTCATGGCAAGGTACAAAAAAGGATTGGATGGACTGCGAAGATAGTCGGGGCCCTATGGTATGTTTTGATTTATTGATTTATTGCGTCTTGGTGAGACCGTCTTTAGATACAACACATATTGGATGCTACACACATATCCGACGGAATATTTGTGACTTTGAAGTTAATAAAAAAGTCCCGACATCCGTATGAGATCGAAATCGGCCAACTATTCTCGACAGAGCCACTTGCCTCTGACCCGGCGAATCATTGCGTGCCAATCTGTGATGTGCTGCATATACCAGACGATGAAGACCAGGCCATTATTGTCATGCCTTTATTACGACCGTTCACGGAACCGCGTTTTGATACTTGCGGCGAAGTAACGGAATGTTTTCGCCAGCTTTTTGTGGTAAAGGACCTGCAAACTTCTCTAATGTGCCTCTAAAGTCCATCGTTTATCAGGGCTTACAATTTATTCATAAACAACATGTTGCACATCGGTATGTGCTATTTGCTACTCATGATATTCACTGATGAAACATTGTATAGTGATTGTATGAATCTGAACATTATGATGGATGCTACGCGTCTTTTCATCGATCCATTTCATCCCCAAAATACTGTCATGAGACGGGACTACTCAGGGGATGCTAGGAGCTTCACTCGTACCCAGCGCCCACCCAAATATCTCTTCATCGATTTTGGTATATCTCGTCGTTACGATTCTAGCAACGTTGCGCCTTTGGAAGCTCCCATATGGGGTGGCGACAGAACCGTACCCGAGTTTCAAAAGTCAAACGAGCCTCGTAACCCCTTCTCAACGGACGTGTATTATCTTGGCAATATGATTAGGAATGAATTCCTGCTGGTGAGTTGTATTCTACACTGTTAATCAAAGTCTTCATCACGGATGTTTTATTGCATATCTAGACAAAGGACGGATTTGAATTCATGGAACCTCTAGTGAATAACATGGTACAGGATGACCCAGCAAAGCGGCCCACTATGGATGAAGTCGTTGCACGTTTCGACCAAATTTTCGAGCAGCTCAGCAGCTGGAAGTTACGGTCACGCGTCGTTGACAAGACGGATGGCAATATCACAGGCCTTTTTCGTGGTGTCACTCATTGGACCCGTCGCATCGGTTATATTATTAGGAGAGTGCCGGCGATACCAACGCCTTGAAATCCTTACGTTCTTTACTATCATGCCTGCTACATCTACTTATGGATCTATCCGAGGAACTGGATTCCTGGCCTCTGTGCAGTGTACTTCATGTGACCAGGAGTCGCACCTACACATAAATATGTTATTGATTGTATTCGAGTCTGTTCGGAACATATCTCCATTCAAGTCGGTCAAATGACTCGAAACTGATGAGGACCGATTTCAATGGTTTTAATGAACGAATACACGTGTGCTGGTCCGACTTGTTCCTCTTTGGTCTTTATCGTTAGTCTCCCTTGCTGACCTAATTCAATATAGTGATGACAGTCGATCATATCTTGCAAGGTCTGCTCCAATTTAACAGTGGCGTGCAGAGTGCCCCCCCTTCGGTGTCAATACAGTAAAAACACGAACACTGTTCAAGCTCTACTCAGCGAAAACTCTATGCTAATCACTATGCCTGCCTCATGTTGGGTCAGATGAGTCTTTGTAGTTTCTTATCAGTCCAAATCCATCAGAGTGAGACTGTACTGTAGATATATTAATCATAATATACTTCCACCTCCAAAACATGTCTCAGACTCCTGCTAGAACAACCTGCAAACCCCCTCAGACCAACAAGCAAAAGTTGGTTCTCTAAGGATGAGATCTGCCCCTGGAGTTCCCAATTTTTTGGGGCTCCAGATGGAAACTGACCATTTGCAGCTGCTATGCCAGCATTAGAATACATGTATCAATGTATCACAAGTATATATTTTTTCATCTGATTTCACTAAGTCCTTGCTCTATCTATGCAATGCCGAATAGGCCGTTATAAGCCGATATGTGCCATGCGGTTTTCTCTCTACTTAAAACCACCGAACGGGGGCACCCACCAAATCAGCGTTATATTGGACTAGACTACTTTATTGCTCAGGCTGGCCAACTGATAGCACAGTTACCATGAAAGGTCCTGCATTTTAGCTGAGAAATTGATCACGAGGGATAGCCGCCATATGAATGTCTGAATAATGTATACTGAGGCAGCATTGTAGCACAATCACGTTGTCTAAAATGCCATTTTGAAAGGTCAGAGACATTCTTTCAATGTTGTTGAACAAGTTCTCATTGATTAATTACCTGCATTAATAAATAGAACTAATGGTCGCAATTTCTTGTATATTGTGACCACAAAATGAACCAGAGGTTAACATTTATGAATGATGTGGTGCTAGGCTATACATATAAATCCCACCGAGGTGCCGGATTTGTGGTAGCAAACTTCAAACATATTCCATGTTGTTGGAAATATAGTCTGAGGGCAAGCACTGTACAGCAAGCCCAAAGACAGGACACGGTGTGGATGCTAGATTAGGAAAGAGCTGTAGTTCAGCTGGCCCGTGCGTTTTGATGAAAATAAATTACTTACATCTTTACTTCCGTTTTTCTTGCAACTTATAAACCTTCATAGCAATCATATCCACCTCAGTCTTTCCCCCCAAAAGCTGAGGTGATTATATGTCTGCATATATATGTAGTTTAACATTTTACTTACCTCTGTACCTAGCATATTGTTTTGACTAGATTGTTTTAAGAGGTTATGAGCCACATCAAACCCAGCGACAACAAAGAGTCCCTGTTACGATAACACAATTTTCAGACCTTTCCTTTAATTTTCATTCTCCGCTTTAACCTTTTACTATAGTTCACACTCCGTGCCATGCGGCACTTTCCTTTTTGTTCTAACTCCACTTTCTCACGCAACACTGTCTTTATTCTTCTTTTAGACACAAAGTCTCTCATGCAGTGGAGCTGGTCACACGGGCTGTGCCCTCTGACATCATCAGCCACTGCTTTTATCAATTGTACAGTACATAGGTATAAACACTCTGTATTAGTATAAATACCCCAATAGATCAAGGAGATTCCTCAGCGAGTCCTCCTGTTGTTAACCAACAAACTCTCTGCAGCCTAAGGGGTAACCACTCCCCAATCACTACCTTTATAGTGTGTTCCTGTGTGCGCCAGAGTAAATAACTCTTGGTTGTTACAGCACTCAATTTTGCTCCATTTGTGGGGCTTCTCCTTGGAGTCATTCTTCACGCGATTACGTCCCCGGCCTCCTTTGTTTCCTCGACGTGACAAGGAGGAATTTAAAGTAGCCAACATGGCTGCATTCTCCATCTTGGAGTTTGCACCTGGCTTCTTTGAAGAGATCCTGAGGCAGTTATATTCCTGAAGGAGGTATGTAATCAAGGTTTTGGGATCAACTGTCTTCCCATCCATGTGCGCGGCGGCAGACAATGAGGATATGAAAGAGGCATATGCTGGAGGTAGGGATCTCATGACTATTGAGGATTTCTCCTTGTTGCTGAGGTGTATGCCTGCGGAGCTCAGTTGTTCCCACATGTCTCGTATCTTGTCAATGTGGGTGCACATGTCTCCCTTCTTGGGGCAACAAATTGCGGCTAACCAATCTCACAGATTAGCTGCCACATCTTGGCAACTGAGTCTTTGTGCAAGATTTTTTGCAGCATAGAATATGGCAAAGTTCTGCCCAGTATGTTTTGGGCACAGCCAGGCGTTCAATACTTCCTGGTCAGCTTGACTCAAGGCTGGGGTCGCTGATGTTGTTGCGGGGGCTGTTTGGATTGTTCCAGCCTGTGTGGTCCTCGGCAACAGAGTTGATGTGGGTTTTGGGGCCAGACCAAGTAAGTGCTTGACACAGTCCTTGTCTGCCATCGCCCACTCAAGTCTTGTTTTGCATATTGACCAATTGGAGCCATTTGGCTCGCCTTTTGGCACTCCGAGGGACTGTAACAACCAAGAGTTAGTTACTCTGGCACACACGGGAACACACTATAAAGGTAGTGATTGGGGAGTGGTTACCCCTTAGGCTGCAGAGAGTTTGTTGGTTAACAACAGGAGGACTTGCTGAGGAGTCTCCTTGATCTATTGGGGTATTTATACTAATACAGAGTGTTTGTACCTATGTACTGTACAGTTGATAAAAGCAGTGGCTGATGATGTCAGAGGGCGCAGCCTGTGTAACCAGCTCCACTGCGTGAGAGACTTTGTGTCTAAAAGAAGAATAAAGGCAGTGTTGCATGAGAAAGTGGAGTTAGAACAAAAAGGAAAGTGCCACATGGCATGGAGTGTGAACTATAGTAAAAGGTTAAAGCAGAGAATGAAAATTAAAGGAAAGGTCTGAAAATTGTGTTATTGTAACACTACCCCCCTTCTAAGGCTCAACTTCCAGGCCAGACTGAATACTGGAGGTGGTAGTTAAATTTTTGGGCATAGTTTGAAAAAGAGAATCAAAAAGTTTTGAATCCATGCGTCCAAGCTTTCTAGGGATTCTTAGAATAAAATTTGCAAACAGCGTTGCGGGAGTTATCCAGATGGGTTTCTGGCTCCCACATTCTGTCCTCATCTCCATAGCCCTTCCATAGGACCAGGAACTCTAATTTACCACGCTTCAAGCGTGCATCCACCACTTGTTCGACTTCAAACTCTTCTTCACCTTCCTTGGTGACTACAACCGGTCCGGGTTGGTCTACGCGCTATCCCAGCAGCGGCCCTTTGTAGGGTTTCACACGGCTAATATTGACCGTGGGTACTACCCTTATTCATTTTGGGAGTTCCAGCTCCACTGCATTGGGTTTGACTTCCATAATCCGGTAAGGGCCAATCCACTTCTCAGTCAGTTTTCTAGACTGCCGATCTTTTAACTTTGAGTGGTTGGTATCTAACCAGACCAAGTCGCCAACCTTGTAGTCAGGGGCCTTAGAGCGTTTACGCTCTGCCCTGTCTTTCATCTGCTCTGCAGGTTTAAATAGCACCTTACGTGTTTCGTCCAAGACAGACTTCATGTCCTTGGCCATGTTCCCAGCAGCCTTGTTCTTGCTTTTGCCAGGTTCTACACCCATTCTGGGGAAGTACAATCTCGTTACCTCAAATGGTGCCTTTTCTGTAGCCGACGACTGTTTGATATTGTATGAGAACTGGGCTATCTTTAGCCACTTGGCCCAATCCATCTGCCTGTCATTAATAAATATATGGAGGTATTGCTTCAACTCCTGGTTGAGTCTCTCTGTTTGTCCATTGGTCTGCGGATGGAACACTGTTGATAACTTAGGTTTGATGCCCAGCATCCGGCATAACTCTTTTGTAAATTTGCTAGCAAATTGTGGCCCTCTATCGGAGATAACTGTTTCTGGTAACCCATGGATAGACCATACAAAATCTTTAAATAAATCTGCCGTACCAGCGGCAGTAATGGTTTTGTTGGTGGGTATGAATACCACCACCATTACTGAATCATACCCATTTGACTCGGGCAGATCCGTCGTGAAGTCAACCGATATATCCTGCCAGGGATCAGCTGGTATTGGATTTGGCATAAGTTTACCGGCCGGTGGTTGATGAGAGTTCTTTGCCATGGTACATCTCAGACAGGATTTTACGTATTCCTGTACATCTTTAACCATGCCAGGCCACATATAGTTTCTGGAGATCAACTCCATTGTTCGTTGCCACCCAGGGTGCCCAGCCACTGGAGTATCATGATGTCTGTCTATTGACTTGATCTTTGCGGACTCAGGCACATAGATTTTGTCTTTAAAATGGAAGAGCCCGTCTTCCCATAAATAATTTTCATTGCCATCAAGGCGCACCTTCTCTTCTGAGGAGATGTCTGTCTTGAAGACTTCCAGAAGATCAGAATCCTGCCCAATTCTAATGTTGACAACCTTTGATTGGTCTATCAGGGTAACACCTTTGTTGTCATCTTTGATGCCGTTGGCATGATCTTCTCTTCTGGACAAAGTGTCCGCTTTCCCCATAGAGCTTTAAGGCTTATGAATTAATTTATAATTAAACCTTGACAAGTATACCGTGTAGCGGGCCTGTCTTCGGTTCAAGTCCCGGGCCATCATAAAATACTCCAGATTCTTATGATCGGTCCAAACTTCAAATTGGTGTCTAGCACCTTCTAAGTAGTGCCGCCAGTGCTTTAAGGCTCTAATGATGGCTAGCATCTCTTTGTCGTAAATTTGATAGTTGTGCTCTGTAGGCGACAAACTATGTGATAAATAGGCACAAGGCCTCCAAAGATCGTCAGGGCATTTAATTGACAAAACAGCCCCAGTAGCAAAATCAGAAGAGTCGGTTTCTAGCTGGAACTCTTTGTCTAATTCTGGAAATGCTAATATGGGTGCTGTTGTAAATGCCTGTTTAAGCTTATCAAAAGTGTCTTGTT